AAAACAACTTTCCTGACAAATTTTTTTTCGTTGGGAGATTAATATTATCATTGGATGAAAAAGAAACGGGACCTCGACGACATTCACGTGGGGCTCGCGAGAGGTTCTACCCTACAGGTTTGTTGATACATGCTATCATTTCTAGTATCTCCATAGCTTTCAAAGAAAAAAAAAATCAGTGTAAACTCAACATAAAAATGCACTTATGACATATAAAAATTATTTCCATTTGAAGTGCAAATTGTATTAAAACTGCAGAAAGATATTTTGTTTGACATTTTGCCGCGATGACGTATAATTTGGTGGATTTTCCTTTCCAGCACCCCAATACACAAAACGTCAACATTTGTACTTAATCATGTTAAATTTGTCTGAATGCAGACTGAAATGTTAATTATTATTAATTTACCGGAGAGTTAAGATATTTTGATTCTGAGAATTGCTTTTACCTAATGTACCATTATAATTGTAAATCCTACATTGTGTGCACGTGCCATTTTTGAATTTCACGTGGTACAAGTCAACAGATCTAACTTGTACGACCCTGATTTTCCGGCAGATTCTAATTACGTTAATTTTCTATGAGGGGAGAATATTAATTTTTCTAAAAATGCTTACTTGATCTTTTTACCTTATTCCTAAATGATATATTGGGTAAATTTGAATGAAAAAGCACACGATTTGCAGCCGTATTGCCGCTTTAATGGAAGTCCGCTAAAATATCCAGTACTCTTCTCATTGTTTACCTGCAAAAAGCTGAAACCCCGTGTCCGCTAAAATAAATTACGCCCAAGTTATTGGCATATACAAATACTTTACTTGCAGGTCAGTTTTGGGATAGTGAAGAGAAAAAAGTTACTTTTATCTAAAATTTAGAACACAATATTTTTGAGATAGAATTGTTGACAGTACAGTCAACGCGGTTTGTGCATTTACCGCGCACCCCCGCGGTGTGAATCTCATCGCGGTTAGTACAGGTGTCTCAGATAAAAACCGCGTGCCCCCGCGGTTCAGTAATCCAGGTAAATCACACCGTCGCGGTGCATCTTAGCGATTACAGGTGAAAAAACAGTCTTGGTCTAAAACGCGAGTTACCTCCCTTTGAAAATTTCAACCAAAACAAAATAAAACGAAATTAATGATATTTTAAAATTTATAGTCGCTGAAATATTCTAAGTACAAAATGAAAATTATTTTTTCTAAGAAATATACTCTCATGTATCTGAATAATTATAAAAATCGTCAAAGCAATTTTCAAATAGCGTTTACTAATCCTTGAATTACTTTTTTAAAATGTGTTCATTCTATTTAGATCCACGACTTTCGATATAAATTACTGTATGTGATACATTTATACAATGCAAGATAAAACACCCAGTGTACTATTCATGATATTCAATAATAATTTATATTTTCGTAACGTGTTTTCTTTTTTAATTTTAAGAGTGGATTGATTAAAGAAACGATCTATCGCAGTGTCAATTTCATTGGGGCTATAAATGAAAGTGTTTTAAAATTATTAATCTTCAAATATAGGATTTTAATTTGCATTCTCCGAGTCGTCTGTAAAGTATCATTCCTTTATTCTGGGGAAATGTTCTTGAAATCAGTAGGGTGTGTATGCGTGTGTAATTTGATGGCCTACCAATCCGTAGAGGATAAAATAAAATTACATAATGTCTAGAGCTAGACCTGGTACGCATACTTGGTCCTCACAGCTGTACACTGGACAAGGTGCGATCCCCTGCACCACCCCTATCCCTGGTATACATGTGCGTGCCCGAAAGCGGGTCAGTAAATTTCAACTGTCGAACATGTTTAACATACTTCACAATGACATATACATTGATCATATAATTTAATACATATATGAATTAATTATTTAAATTTATATATGCAGATAACCAGGATTACTTTCGTGTAAAAAGTTAATTTTGATGTAAAAATCATCCCCCTCCCCCTTTTATTTACTTGGACACTAATAATGTGTCTTACACAAAACTCATCACAATCGCAACTTTGGATGGGGGTTATTTTCCCAATAGCAATAGATATAAGCTAAGTTGATTTAGAAAATATTGTTTTCATGTATGAAAATTCAACCAAAACAGTGCCAAAAAAAACTACCAAGGTTATTAATGCAAAATTCTATAAGGACTATTTATATCGCGTAAACAAAAAGTTACTGAAAAAGAAATTCATAAACACCACAAACAATGTCGAAACAACATTTTAGGTACATTTTGCATTGGTTAAGTAATTTTTTGGTCCTTGTTAGATCTAGTACATTTATACACAGTGTACATGTAGCTTCACGGACTAATCGTGGTCTCCTTAGTAACTGGTGGATTCCTGTGTATCGAGCGCGTTCAAGCGGAGAGGGATTTCCTGTCTCACAGTGACACTGTACTGGGTATAATTTCACACCTTTGTGAAAGACAAAGGATTTGGATTTTCGCAACATTTTGACAGTTTTAAAATATAAAATTAAATGACTTTCCCTGTATATGATTGGTCTTCTACAAATACAAAAAATAGGGATGTTAACACCGAGGGCTGTCCTATATGCAGATATGTACTGTGTACATGTTCCTCCAAAATACGACAAGCTTAATAAATGTATTCATTGCGTAGTTAATCCCATACGTTGACAGGGGTGGCTATAGAGGTGAACCTGTAAATGGTAGATATAATATTAATTCTTTTACATATACATGTATAACAAAAGGACGATATATCAATTTATTATGCACAACGGTATGCACAACAAAGCACCCCGTTTCATCTGTTTAAAGTAATATACGCCGTATGGGTCCCGATTTGTATGTGAAACAAAATTATTAAATGATTTGAAACACATAAAGTATAATGAAAAAATAATATTTCCACAAAATTTAACTATAAAACTTGTTGTAATAACAGAACAATAAAGCAATATCTGCAATCAAGAATTCAGTCTTTTCATGAATATTGATAAAGGAAGTGCGTAAACAGTAGGTCTAAATATAGACACGTATTTCTACGGGAAATTATAGACAACGAGGCACATTGCATTTTGACAACAATTATTAATAAAAGGTTAATATGCGTCATAACAGAGTATAGATGGTTGATACTGATAACATTTAAAGATTAGTTATATTAATAGTAACACGCCATCCCTGTCAAAAGTGAGTTGTATCTCAAAGGGCTTACCTCGTTTTCTTGACGCCGTGTTTTTTTATCAATCTAAAAGTAGCGACGGCGTCACGTGGTGGATTTACTTAAAAATAGACATTATTCTCCTTGCAGGATAATAAATAATTATAATTTGATAACTTTATAACGAATTTTATTTAAATGGTGTAATTTACAGCATTTTCGTAACTTTTATTGGTAAACAAAATATATCAATTTCCAGCCGTATTTTAAAATGGCGCACTTTATCACAGGGGCTTGTCACGAAATATTTATCTTCTTTTAATAAAGTTACCCCTACTATATACACATTTTAACTTATGCAAACGAAGTATGCACAACAAAGCATCCCTTTATAGCGTATATTACTTTAATATTATTATGCGGAAAGAAAATTTTAAGCTTTCTCTTATTTTATTTGCACATTGAGAGTTAATAAACTAAGTAACACTCTAAACTGCATACAAATATTTCTACTACTCAGTGTTTTCAGTTAACACGCTTTTCTCATGAACATTGTTTGTACTTACAAGAAGTTACTTTAATGTATGCTCTCAAGCGGAAATGCGTTGCCGTTTAAAATGAATTTTGCCGATTAAAAAAAACAAATAATAATACGAGAGAGAGAGAGATTTACTGCACATTGCCTATAAACATGTTTCAGAATATCTAGCTCTTCCATCCATCGAATATTTATCGAAACATGAATGCGTTTCATTGTAAAAGTGATACACGGTATATAGTCATTAATTTAGAGAAATAAAGTTTACGCTTATGCTGAGGATATAATTTATTTTTTAAAAACATGTTTTAAAAACTTACATTTATCAAACATCAGAATAACTTGAAAAACAATCATACACTATTTGATTTTTTTGTTTTTTTGTTTTTGTTTTTGTTTTGTTTTGTTTTTTTTGTTTTGTTTGTTAAATTCTTCGGGTAGTAGTAACATAGTATAATATTTTTAATATCCCGATTTTTTTTACTCACACAACCTGCAATTTTACAGACCGAACAATATGCAGTTATAGATATTATACGGCCGTACAGGTTAAATAAATATCCGATAAACCAGTCAACGGTAAGTCACACCGCCGCGGTCTATACCTGGCTACAGGTAGGACCGCGATGAAATAACCGCGGGGGTGTATCGCGGAAAGGATCAAAACACCGCGGGGGGAGCGCGGTTTAATGCCTAATCCGCGTTGACCGTACTGTACCTTTGAACAGGCAAAACGCCAAATTTTACACCCGCCAATTAAACCCGCTATACGGTAATATATTTCACTATTTTATTAATTATACCGAAAAAAAAGATAACCTGAAATTAGCTAGAAGAAAATATATAGTTCATTATTTTAATAAAATAATATTAATATAATAATATCTAACGCACTGATATTAGTCCATTCACATACTATACCAACAGAAAAGTAAAATCAAAAAGACTGTTAGGTTTTGAAGCGGTGTTACTAACTCGCTAATTTAATACACCGACGGGACACCATAAGTAAACAATTCATTTAAACGAGCGTCGTCACGATGGTCACCTTTGTTGGTCGAAAATCCGAGATGCAGAAATTAAGAAACAAGATCAAATGGAATAAAATAGTGGTTATCCATGGGTTTAAAGGCATTGGAAAGACATCTTTAGTAAGAGAATATTGTGAACATATCGAACAACCATGCGTTTGGATTGATCTCCGGAATACACACAACTCCAATGAAGTTCTCCAGTCATTAATAAGGCACATTACACAAGAGGCAGTCACAATGGACGATCCAAGATTTATGCGTTTGTGGAGGTAAACGCAAACGTCTGGATGATGCAGACTAATAAAATATCAAAGATCGTAGAACTATGTGAAGGGCTTCCTCTTGCACTGCTCTTGGCTGGTGGAGAAATAGAGGATGATAGTAGCTCGCTTGATGTAGACGATGTTATTTATTTACTTATTCACAACAGACTGGGGATATTGAGCTCAGAATGCTACTCACAAGACGAACAAATCGGTACATACTAATCCTACTCAAATTGCTTATTATGCATGCATAGACTTCGATCACAGATAGGTTATTTAGAAATTGTACGAGATTAAGTATAAGTAGGCGGTTATTTTTTTTTTCATACTTGTGTATTTGTTAACTTTTACCTTTTATATTTTCATTTCCTACCTTTGCATGTTGAAAAAAAGTTAAATAATGAACATTTTAAAACGATATTAATTGGTTGTAGATAGATAATAAGATGCATTTTATTTGTAGAATCAATTTATAAAGTTTACCTAGACAGACTTCCAAAAATCTTGGAAGAAAAGTTAACAGTTGTGAGTTACATACCAGGGACATTTGATTTGAAAGAAGCTATCAATTTATTAGGTATTATTTACTTTTTAACTTTAATATTTTTCTGCTTTATTACTTTAATGGTCCCTTTGATTATTTAAACATGCAATAAAATGCTTTCTTTTATCGAGTTGTTACAGAAAAAATATACATAACCCGCGTAATCGGGTTATGTAATTGTTTCTGTACTTTACTACAACTGCGAATAACTTACTAAGAGAAACATTTCATAATTTATCTCATGTCTAATCACATTAATAGGTTCAAGTAAGTTAAATACTACATATTATTCGTCATTGTTTTGTACGTCATGAAAGTGGCCTATAGGAACAGCGTTTTCTGATTAATAAATGACCATGATTTTTGTAAGATGTAACAGAAAAGTAAATAAACTTTAATTATTAATAACAGGTACTGGTGAAGAAGAATCAGAAGTTACAGTACAAACTTTTTTAGATCGACATTTAATTTCACGAGTTACGGAAGACCGATTTGATATCCATGGAATTTTAAGAGACTGCATGAAGGAATACAAAAAAATTAAAGACATAAAGGGTAACATACATGTAATATCAATAGTCTCGTAGGGTAACCAAAGGATTAAAAAACAATTTAAGGCATTTTAGACCAATACTTATCGGTCCAAAACTTTTAACACCTAGTACCTTTAAATGCAGATTCTCAAAACTTCTATCATTGATGTTTATGAACCAGGGGCGGGTCCAGCTATTTTTGAAAGGGGGGGGGGGGGGTTCCAGGCTTGTGTCCCTCTAACCCCCCCCCCACTCATACACACGCTCAAGCAAAGATTCACATACATATATGAAAAGATCTAAGGTTGTGGTAAATAATAAGTTTGTTTACGTCCTTTTTTTCTTTGAAAAGGTACCCCCCAGTCCAAAAAAAACAAAAAAAAAACAAAACAAACACGTTTCAAAAACTACAGTACTGAAGCCTTGAAATTGAATTGAATGGATTTGCAGCATTTCTGAAGAGTACAAAGAATTCTCGTTTAGAATTTGAGAAATTTTTTAGGGGTGGGTGCGGGTGGGGTTTAAAACAAAGCATTACAGGTTAGTTCCTTCAAAAGATATGATTAAAAAACGGTACATATATAGCCAACACGGCCAAAGATAGCGGAAATATCAAATTAAATCTCACATGTTACTTATCGTATATGAAATATATAAAAATAGGTAAACTATTTTCTATCATTCTCTCATAAAAAAGTAATAGTGAAGGAATAGTAGAGGAAACTTAATGTGTGAAAATCTATCTATTCAATACATAAGTAAGACGTACAAATATTTATTCTCGGCAAACGTTTATCCTCTCTTTCTCTCCCTCTCTCACCACTTGGCAAAAAATAAATGGGGGGTTCCAACCCCCGGAACCCCCCCTCTGGATCCGCCAATGTGAACAGCTAACCCGTAAACCTGATTTTCAATTTCGACTATCATCCAATCTCTAACTGGATTTAAGAAGCTAGCACATAATGTTTAATATTGATTTAAAGTTTACAAAATCAAACATTTTCTTTTCTTGGTAACCATAGCAACAGTATTGTTTTCCTCATCAAATTTATAAACATACTAGTTTGATATTTAACTACCAGATAAGTACTATTCAAGGTTAGTCACATAAAATGGTCTGGGATTTTTTGTTCTCCCTTACATGTAGTTACTTACCGGGTATTTTACTTGGTTACACTGCGTAACCATGGCAATCATAAAAGTTAATACTAGTATTTTCATTGTTTTCCTTAAGTTATTGAATGAGTTTGATCATGTAACAACTACCATTAGTAAATACTGAGCGTTTTCAGCATATTTCAGCATTTTAAATGTATTCCAAACGAACCCTTGGTAACCACTTACCTAAAGATATATTCTAAACAGTTTCTTTGCAGCATAAATGGCAATAAGGTGTCATGATTTTATGAGAATGCTTTTCCTAGATTTAATTAATTTTCAATAAAGATTTAAAGTAGCTGAAAATCTCAATTTTTTCAAACTTTTCAGGCTGTTACCATGGCAAACAATACAAATGACAACGAAATTTTATTTGATTTTTGTTCTGGTGTAAAGTGCTAAGAATGAGTCAAGTTTCATCAAAATCAATGAACATCATGACAAAAAAGTTAGTGGTTACAGAGAATGGCTATTAAATTGTTTCAGAGCTTGAAAATAATTCTGTTACATTACAAATATGAACAACAGAAGTTTATAAATGTTTTTTTTCTCCGCTCTTGAAGTATTTAATGACAATTCTGCAACAGATAATTTTTACATCAAAGTTGCAGCTCCTATTGTTTTAAGTTTTTGTATTTTATATAAAAATATATTTTAAATGCATATGGCAAATGATAAATTCGTAAAGTTAATACATTTTATTTAAAATGATAATATTCTAATTTAATAACAGTTAAAAAAAGAAATATGCAAAGGCTTTTTGTTGAAATAATTATTATATCAAATTATCAAAAAAATATTGGCAGAGGAAATAAAAGTATTATGTCTATGTCAGTAATTTTTCATCCGAGAGGGGTGAATAAACTTGGGTAAATAAATAAAACTAATCAGTGTTGTCAATTTGATTGTAAGAAGTTAAATTAGAATTCAATATCTTGCACAACATATAAAAAAGACAAATCAAAATGAACATTGAGTAAAGTAATAGCTCAATTACCCAGACCATATTAAACCAACTTCTTCTGAAATGACGTTGTATGCCTTAAGACTTGACAAATAGGTAAGAATATAATTGTATAATATGATATCAAAAGAACATAACTCCTTCAAGATATCTCTGATTCAAGTTGGTTTAAGTACCTTAATCTGATTTTTTTAAAAATGTTACTCGACAGTTCTCCATATATCCCAATATCCCATGCCAATTCGGTACATGTCATTGATATTATGTAATTATGACTGTTTTTGCCAGATACTGGTATTATTTGAGTTTGCCTATAGCTAGATCCTCAATATTGAAATATTTAGCATGTTTGCAAATGCGATTTACTGCTAATTGCGAGCAGGCGCTATACCTCCCTCTTTATTTCTTCAGTTTTGAGTTATCGGAGAAAGTGTCTGATAGGATCCTAACGTAAAAATAACATAATAATTACAAAACATGAACAATTAATTATTAAGGACAGTTGATACAAAATTTTACAAAAAGTGTAATATCAACTTTAGAAAAGTATACCAAGCCAGGTGAATTTTATCAGGAAAAGCAAAATGGTAAAAATCAGCCTATATGATATTGCTGATTTCTTGTCATTTTGCTTTTCCTGATAAAATTCACCTGGCTTGGTATACTTTTCTAAAGTTTATAATACACTTTTAGCTCCAATGTGACATATTCTAAAATTTGTTTTCATCTGTAAACCTTTACTGAGTGTGTTTTGTCCATACTTGTAATTTTATTGAAATATTAGTAATATTTTCCAAGTCTATTTCATTTTTCACTTCTTAGGAGGAAAAATTCTAAGAATTATCCACTTTTCTAAACTTGTGACATGATATTAAGTCCTTTCAAAGAAAAAAAAAGTTTGTATCATCTGTCCTTAAAACAACTCTGAATCTAACTCTATTAGCATAGCATGAAGTGTCTTTGATCATTATTGCAGCCCGGAGGACCTGGCTGCTCTATACATATATGTTGAAGTGTTGGTGTATGGGGATTGAAGTGGGAAAAGTAATTCAGAATTAAAGGTTTTCTAAACATTAAAAAGTTTTAATCAGAATGTTCTTCCCCTTTAGGAATTACGAGATACATAATACATTTACTTCCATAACGTGAATTTGTAAAAATGCAAATGTTTTTAATATTTAATATAAACTTGCTTCTCATCTACTATCGAAAAAACGACAAGTCCCTTTTTTTAGAACATCGAATTTTCATGATCGCATAAAAACGTACTCTACACAGTTCGTGTTTAATATTCTTAAAGTGAAATACATTTTTGAAAATAGGTGTTGCATGAGTCTAGTTTCAATTTATATTTTATGCAGCCAAAATTTACTTGGGGAATTGATAAAGTTTAAAAGGGGCATCGTTTTTGTTCGATTTTTATCCGACAATAAATTTTCAAAATATTCTCGACTATCGTCTCTATCAGTTAGAGGCATGGCTTTTTCACACACACTGAAGCAGTTTAGTGATCAACACTCATTTCCATTGTTTTTTTTTTATTTATTTCCCGGGCGACAATTGATGGTTACATCAATGTTTTCTTGTATTATTCTGATTTTGATCTTCCACTTATTGTAGGTGTTCGAAAGCGCTTTTGTAGGATATTTTCTGATATTCTAAAGGAAATCGAGAGGAGAACTCACACGAAAAATTACTCCGATGCCTTGTGTCAGTTGAATGTAGAACATCAAAACTTTATGAAATTGTTTACCGATGTCATTTATTGCACGGAAGATACATATCACGTGTTCGTGGACTTAGCAGCAACTGTCATTGCTGATGGATCCATCATGTTCTCAAAAATGGCAACATACAGTATGAAACACTAGTCTCAACTTTCATTAACAAAATTTTATGCACGCCGTTGACTTGAATTTTAAAGAAGGCAATAGTAATGCAATTGAGTTTATTATTTTTGTTTATCATTAAAATATCTTTGTATCCCGATAACCAGACCTAACTTCTCAAGTTGGAAATACAGGTACGTAAATATTTTTTTCTTACAAAAAATTTTTAAAATACATTCGGAACAATTTTCAATACTTTTATATGTATGAATAGTACAAAGAAAACGATTTCAAAACAATGTATCACACTAATATTAAAAACGAAATTTTACGGAAAATTATCCTATAGCTATTGTTTAATTGAACTTTTGAAATATTTCATATTAGTGTTAATTTCTTATAATCGACTACAGCTTCAAGTAACTAAACAGGAAAAGTGCTTCGACAAGAGCCTAGCATTGCACAATGGTTTTAGAGGTTTCATTTAAGAGACACGAAGTAAGGAGTTAATCCTTCCGTCGCTGATTCAATTCCAATGCGGGAGAAGGAGACATGTTCTTCAGATGAATTATATAAACTTCAAGGTTGAATTCAGACTTAAGTCCAGTGTCGCAGTAGATGCTGACACGAAAAAGATTCCTTACTGCTCAATCGCAAAAGTGCTGAATACAGGTCTAAATTCACAGCTCTCTACCAGGAAATGGTGGCGTTTCACAATTTTGAAAAAGAGATTAAAAGCAAAGAAACGATCAATCTTCAAAGCACCTAAAGACGACGGACGGACAGATAGACCGACATTTTTAACCTTCCACTTTCAGTGAAAGCTGGTGCATAGATGAAATGCATCTATGAAATAAAAATGTCAGTCGGCACGATTTAGTTGGGTCTGGTTTGTTAGGGAAAACAGAGATATATTTATTTGGATCTTATTTCTTATAGAATAAGTGAAGAAATAACTTTGCTTTTAGGCATTGGCATAGACTTTTATGAGAACTGCCTAAAGAAAGCTCAAGAATTTAGACAAGGTTTGGATGAAGCAAAGATATTAACTGGGTATGGAAAAGCCTTGACAAATATCAAGGTAACTTGCAATTTTTCATCTTATTCATCCTTCAAGATTTTGATTTACGATGACCGTTATCTGTACGGAAATTTTCTCATTCAGTAAGTTTTTTCAAACTTAAATGGAAAACAATTCTGTAGGGTGACTATCTTGGAGCCGAAGAGAAATTCCAAAAGGCGATTAAAATTCGAAGACAATTTCCTGAGAAAAGAGATTACTTCTTGGCTCTTCTATGTCAGAGCTATGGATGGAATCTAGGATCCCAAGGGAAATTTATGGATGCCATACGGTAACTAAATCATTCATATCATAAACCTATCGAAAACCGCAATATTATACGTAGTACAATATAATTGGGAGAAGGGGGTCTCTACACCTTGACTTTCTTGCAGGGAACTTGCAAGAAAGTTTGTGACGAATTTGACTTATGTCGACCTTTAGTCCTTTTAAAAAGATATTAAGAAATTATGTATGTAAAGGAACAAAACGCCACTTCACCTTCTCGTCATTTTCCTTCCTTGAGTCTTTCTATCTTAAATCCTTTTACAATAAGTCCAGACTAAAGATTTTGAAGGTATGTTTCACGATCAAAAATAAACACTTAAATAGTTCCTTACCCAAAATAATGAACAAGGAGCAGTTTTAAGTCTTGCCCTGACGAAAGTTTACTCACGGAAACACACACATTTAGAAATAAATAAAATAAATCCAATCTTGATTCATCGAATTTAAGATTACTTAATTATACATTTTTAACGAGAAATAGATTAGAAATATTTAGTCGAAAGACTGAACGTATGAACTAGCGATGGTGGCCGAGAACTTGAATACTCGTTGAAATTCATAAACCCCCACCCTCGCTCACCTAATATATGTATTGTGTGTTTGGAGTTGTAATTTCTGACAATTGCAAAAAAGAGCTTTTATAGATTCTTACAGGAAGCCTTTGAAGTGGAAAGGGAGCTTAAGATGCATTACGAAAACCTGATTTTACAGACAATGCAGTCTCTTGCTTTATTTTATAATAAGTCAGGTAAACTAAATGATGATTTAAATTGTTTTTAATAATCCAAAAAGCATTATTTCCATTTTCATTAACCATCCATCAGTATCAGTCCTTCCCTTCGTCCAACGTTAGATTCAATTTCTTTCTTTACACAGGTAACGTCGACAAAGGGGAACCTTTTCAACTTGAGGTTCTAAAGCGTAGACTTCATATTACTGGAACAGAAAACCATCCCATCATTGGATCTTCTATGAACAATATGGGTGTAATGTATGAAAAGAAAGGGGACTTCATAAAAGCTGTTGAATACTATAGAAAAGGGCGTCGTATCAAAGAAAAAACAAATGCACCCCTAAAAGCAATTATAATATCTGAAACAAATTTAGCTCAAAGACTGTTGGAATTTGGTCAAAATGAAGAGGCATTTGACTTACTTGAAAACAGTTTCAAACGCCTCGAAGATTTTCCTCATCTCGATGCAAAATCCTTGCTCTGGGAATCAATGGGTAAAGCGCTTTTGAAGATTCATAAATTTAGGGAGGCGTCAGATGCCTTAAAAAAAGCAAGAGGATTACGATCTCAAAGCTCTGTCAACGATACCTCTATTTTAGAATTGATTTGTTTGTACGCAGAAAGCCTACTAGCATTAGGAAAGAATGAAACAGCTATCAAAGTAATACAAGAAGGACTGTGCTTACGTGATATAATTATCAAGAATATTCCCACTTGTCCATTCATAGTTTTGACATATGAAAAATTATTGGACGCACAGTTTGCATTGAAGAAACAGAGGGACATAAAAGAAACGTTTGAAGCTGGAATAGGTGAATTTTTGCGGTTGATAAAAGTGTACGAAGATTTAAGAAATTTTGATAAACGAGAGGATGTCCTGAGGCATCTGAAGAGGTTCAAATCCAGATATTCAGAGATGATAAAATACTTTCAATGTGACCATTTTGTTGATCGTATCGAAAATGAATCGTTTGTTCTAAAACTTTTTTGGGGATCAAGAATGATTTGTTTTGCATTGATATGTTTTTTGCATGAACATTAAAAAAAGTTTTCATTTTTTAAATGTCATCTTTTAATATTTAGTATGTAGAATTAATAATGAGATGTTCAAAAGTGTGCTAAATTTCAGTAAATGTACTTTTACATAAGAAGAGATATTCAATAAGTAAACCTTGTTCTTTGTTAGCAGGACATAAAACACAGACCATTGAAAATCCAGAGGTTGGATCAGGTGACTAGAAGGAGTAGGCATCCCCTTTTAACCCTAAACACACGGTGTGAGCCCTCTCAGGTAGACGGAAAATATCGTAGTCAAAATCAGTAATAGTAAAAAGGGTTAACAACTGGAATGAGACACATCAGTAACATATGGTCCAATGACAAGTAATATTTGTTAAGAATTTCATTATAACGGCTCAAAAAATTTGCGAAATGTTGCTTTTAAACGAGGTTGTTGAAATCCATGAAACATCAACTCATCTGTCAGTAGCTTGCAATGGTTTAAACATTGATTGTACTTAGAGCATGCTGGTGAGTATCAAATACATTTGGAGATGTTAACGCTATATGCACGGCAACAGGATATTACTGCATAAAAATGACGATGGAAAAGCCTAAGTCACCTTATTTGTCATATTAGTTGTTTGTTTGCCTTTATCGTTTATAGTCAATAAAACATCAAAATGGGAAACAGATGTGGTAGACTCTATGGTGTTTTTTAATCACTGGAATATAACGTGTTGCCATATAAATAAACTGCAAGTGTTTTTACTGCTCATGTAGAAGTTTCTGAATGAATTCTATTTCAAAGGAATATAAAGACAGGGCAGTTTATAAAGGAATCTTAACAGTTTGTCTGACGACATGGTTTCCGAAAACTATATAAATGTTGTCAATAAGGAACTCTAGCATCCTTTTGATATTAACTTCAAAGTACTTTTGTGTACAATCAGAGATTAATCACAAGATACGAATATTTTACTTTAATTATTATAGAAAAAACAGTTGTTTATCATACCGATAAGCTTACTTTTTAGTTTATCCTGAGAATAGTTGTACAGTTGTATTATGTGTAGAAAACGTCTTTATGTTACTGAATTTGAATTAAAAAATTCTAAAAGTATTTTCAAGTTCTTGAGTATCTACACATGATATGTATTTATTACAGTTATAGTAACACGTGTGTTGATCGAACACGTGTTTTGTTTATTTATATTTATACCGGAAACCAATTTTTATTGGTTAGTTATTTCAGAAATAGAACCTGTTTAACAGGTATTTTATGCGACACACCCTATCTCCTGCTTGAGGATATCCGATCCTCAGCCATGAAGGATAACTCCAAAAATCAAATTTTAATTTGAAATGCATCAAAATGAAGCTTGAAAATGAAATTTTTTCATGCAACAATTTTCATTTTATTCATCTTTATAAGAATCAAGGTTTTTGGAAGTTTTAGAAAAGGTCTTATGAAAGTTATTTTTTATCTTTTATTACACAGTTCCATCAATACTAGTGTTGGCAACGAGTACCCGGTTAACCGGTTAACCATCGAACGATGCGAGTATCGGTTAGTAAAATTGCTATTCGGTTACTCGGATAAAATGCATCTTATAAGGTAAATAACTAAAAAATAAAATGTTAATTTGTTTATAAGCGTACAAATAAACATTTCTCTAATTTTCTTTACCGTTAGACTTAATGATCTACGGTTTCACTAATACGATTGATTGGTTTTCACACTAAATTGATAGCTTTGATTGCCAAGTCACAATTACCTCATTAAATAATTTAACGAGATGCCGCCAAAGACATCTATAGCTTGAAAGTATTTTAAAAGAACAGCTGATTCCATACCTGTGAAATGTAATTAATATGAATTGGAGTTATTGTGACTTCAAATTTCTAAATAACTATTCTCTTTGATCGTGACATATATCGGGGGTTGAAAAGTAAAACTGATGAACGCCATTGTAAAATAGCGTGAAACATTTATTTTTCTTCTGATTTAATTAATTTTTTGATTATAATTATATCTAAAATTCAAGATATTGCGTGCGTATTCTTTTTAAGTTTATAGATAAAGTTAATTCACAATACCTTTGTGTTTTATTAGAACCGATGAGTAAAAGATGAGATAAATGATACATATGAATAAATCGTCCGAGTAACCGGGTACTCGATCGGAAGATTGAGCGAGTAACCGGTTACTAAAAATCGTCCGATTTGCCAACACTAATCAATACCCATTTACAAATTGCCAGTTAACCCGGGTATTTAGGATAACCAACATAAAAACAACAAAGAAAAAGAAAATTACAAAATAAGTCATTATAACAAATTTGTTAAAAGTTTGACTAGGTCTTTAAACATACCAGTTTTTGACAAATTTAACATGAAATTTATATCTTTTTCTAATGAATATCTAATGCTTTTTTCTAACATGAACTTCTCTTGTATAATATTTTCTATTCTGCTTTTCATTTTAAATTTATATATTTTATATGCCAAATATGATATTATAGTATTATAAAAACGAATTCTTGAATTTGTTTCCAAGTAAAATCCTACAACAATATGTTTCCATTGCACATCATAGTTCATAACAATATTCAACTTTTGCCATACACCTTTTACATTATCACAATCAAAAATTAGATGTTTTATATTTTCATTTTCATTTCCACAAAATTCACATTTTGCATTTTCTCTTAATTTACATTTTTGTAAAAAAGAATTACAACATAAAATATTGTTCAACAATTTATAATTAAATTCACTTAGACGTTTATCATACATGAGTTTGATTTTATTTCTATAAATATTACACCAGTATTCTTTACTCACACAGAAGTTTCGACCTAATATTGATTGATAACATGGATATTTAAACTTTTTAGACAACATATTCTCATGGAAAAACTTACATTTTTTATCTGTAATACAATTTAAACCACTGTTAAAATTGAAAGAATTTACAGGAGTTGTCTTGGTAAAAATACAACACTTCATATCAAACATGTTTCTCTGTTACGTTACTACTTTTTTTTAGAATCTTGTACTCACACAACCAGTTAGATTTATTTATCAAAGTATTTGAAATTTCTTGTAATGTTTTAAAGTTACCATTTTCATCAAAGAGATCTTTCGTATACAAAATATTACTTGCAATCCAATTTTTAAAACATATTGTTTTACCTTTAAATTGGTATAAATTGTTATTCCAAAGTGGTTGTTGTGCAAATTTGACATTTGATAAATTTGATATTTCTATTTCCTTTTTACATTCATTGAAATAACAGAATATTTCTTTATAAAAAGTAGACAGGTGAGAAATAAGTGAAAAGTTTTCGAGTTTTCTTTCAGACAATGTAAGTAAATAATTAATGTCTATATTCATTTCATTCAGGTATCCATTTATGACTTTATTCAGTATACAAGATTCATCACTAAGTCTTGTTACCCAAGATGCCTTTAAGGCCTTTAATTTTAGTTCAATATCAACTAATCCTATTCCCCCTTTTTCTTGTTTGCCTATAACAGTGTCTCGCTTAATTCTATCTCGTTTGTTCCATATAAAATTGAATACACTACTTTTAAATTTTTTTATCAACTCGTAGTCTGGAATTGGTAATATGGAGCCAACATATATTAATTTTGATAAAGCTAAAGAATTAACTACACAAGACTTTCCAAAAATTGTTAATTTTTTTTTTCCATGATTCAAACAGTTTTTCCATATCTTCATAAATTTTAATCCAATTTAAGTTGTAGCATTGGTCTTTGTTATGACCAATAAAAATACCTAAGCAGCGAACAGCATCATTAGTTACATTTATACCACACACATTTGAGTGCCTGTCCTTGAGACTACCTAAAAGTATACATTGTGTTTTATTCAGATTGATTTTTGATCCAGCATGGTTGCAAAAAGTTTGAACACTTTCAATTGCTGTTTCTAATGAGGATATATCTTTTAAAGCTAAAGTTATGTCATCCGCATGTTGTAGATTTTTTATTTCTGGAGAAGTTGCATTTAGTTTAATACCTTTGATATGTTCATTACTTTTTATTTTTATAGCTAATATTTCTGCGACAAATAAAAATAGCAAGGCTGAAATGGGACACCCTTGTCTTATGCCTCTAGACATAGAACACGTTTTGGAAATCCAACCATTATTTTTTACTTTAAAAATTGGGTTGGTGTATAAAATTTTTATCCATCTGATAAAGTTTTCCCCAAAGTTAAATTTTTCTAGTACTTTAAATAAAAAATTCCATTCTATCGAATCAAAAGCTTTTTCAAAATCTATAAATAACAAAAGTCCTTCACTATTATTTTCCATACAATGTTCATAAATATCTAAAACAGTTCTAGCATTAATTCCGATATAACGTCCTTTAATATATGCTGATTGTTCATTACTTATTAATTGATCTATAACTTTTTGTAATCTTCTTGCAAATATGAAAGCTATTATCTTATAGTCAGTATTTGTTAAACTTAAAGGTCGATAGTTCTTTAAATCATTCTTGTCTCCTTTTTTAAATAAAACTGTAATAAGAGATATGCGTTGTGAAAAAGTCAACTCTTTATTGTCAAAAACGGATAGCAGTACTTCGTAAAATAAGGAGCTTATAGTGTTCCAAAAACATTTATAAAACTCACACGGTAAACCATCTAAGCCAGGAGATATATTGTTTTTCATATTAAAATCAGCTTCTTTACATTCATCTATTGTAGGCATTGCATCACATTTTTCCTTCTCTTTATTTTCTAATTCTGGACAATTAACATTTTGTAGATATTCGGATATTTCAGCATTATCAATTAATTTACTACTGTAAAGGTTTTTGTAAAAAGTGCACATTTCGTGCAATATTTCAGAATTTGAAGAAAATGTCTTAGTTTCATTTCGTACTTCAAAAATTGTATTATTAGTTTGGTTTTTCTTTTCTAATCCAAGGAAAAAACTTGTGTTTCTTTCGCCCTCTTCTATCCATTGTGCTTTAGATCTTATTTGTGCGCCTTTTGCCAATTCGTTTTGCATTTCATCT